AAAAAAAGACTTAGAATTATGATGAATGTTAAGATTAATATCAGTGTGAAGTAAAAGCCAAAAAAAAAAAGAGAGCTAAGGTCAGAACTAAATACAAAATTTTGTTTTCAGGTGCATTTTTCTTGCAATTTAACTTTATGACAATTGGATTAAAAAAGTCTGATGTTTTACATAGAACCTTTCGGGCAGGGGTGGTATGTTAATTTCCTATTGTTTCCTAACAAATGACCACAGATTTAGTGGCTTAAAACAACACAAATGTATCTTACAACAGCTCTGGAGGTCAGAAGTCCAAGTGGCCCTGCAGGCTGCATTCCTTCTGGGAAGGATCTGTTTTGTTGTTGCTTTCTGGTGCCTTCTCCATCCCTTCCTCCATCCACAGAGCCCATCACTCTAACCTCTGCTCCTGTCATCACATCTCCTCTGTCTCTGACCCTTCGTCCTCCCTGCCTTGTGACTACACTGGGCCCACGTGGCTAATCAGGGATAACATCTCCATCTCAAGCTCTTCACCTTAATCGCATCTGCAAAGCCCCTTTGCCATCTGCGGTAATATGTTTACAGGTCTCGGGGATCCGCATGTGGAAATTTCTGGGGAGCCATGTTGGGGGGTAACTCAGGTGGGATTTTTATGTCTTATCTTCACAAGTAGCACAGTTCTTGAGTCTCAGTAAGAGCTCATTCATAATTTGTTGGAGAAGTCAGTCTGCGATTTTATTATTTGAAGTATCGTTTCTGAAACAAGAGAAGTGAGGTCTTACCCTACTCTCATTCTGCCACATCTGGAGTTCTGGGTTCAGCGCTACGTGCCTGTATGGTAAAGGGACAGCTGGCAGAAGGGGATAGACGAGGAAATCAAGGCACAGAGAGGTTATGCGACTTGACCTAGGACACACAGCTAGAAAGTAGCAAAGCTGCGGGTTCAGACTTTGGCCTCCTGACTCCAGTGTCAGTCTAAACCAGGGGTCCTCAGACTACGGCCCGCGGGCCACATGCAAATACAAATATTGTATTTGATCCCGTTTAGTTTTTTTACTTTGATATAAGATATGTGCAGTGTGCATAGGAATTTGTTCATAGTTTTTTTTTAAACTATAGTCCGGCCCTCCAACGGTCTGAGGGACAGTGAACTGGCCCCCTGTTTAAAAAGTTTGAGGACGCCTGGTCTAAACCATCACATTATCCTGCCTTTAGTTCCAGAAGGTACAATAGGGCTAGAGGCAGAAGGTGTTTTAGAAATAGAGGCCGACTTTGGCCTCCTGACTCCAGTGTCAGTCCAAACCATCACATTATCCTGCCTTTAGTTCCAGAGGCACAATAGAACTAGAGGCAGAAGGTGTTTTAGAAATAGAGGCCAGATTTGGACTTAGTTTAAGGAGAAAAACAGGATAACAATCAGAACTGCTTAGACGCAGAGTTTCCCTGCCTTTGTAATGTTACTGGAAATGGTCCAGTTGGCTATTGTAAATGGAATTTCCAAACCGGCTGGAGATTAGACCAGATGACGATAAGGTCCCCGCTGATTTTGAAATCCTGATTTGGGAGCATAATTATTTTTTTCATGTTCTCTCTCTCTCTCTCTCTCTCTCTCTCTGCGCCTTTTGACATTTTTATATAATAAAGATCCATTGTGAAATGTAGTTTTCCACTAACTTTCCAGATTTCATTTTAGAAACTCGGACATTCTGCTGTGGTAGGCCGTGTCCCCGCCCCCTTTTAAAGGGCCACTGCTGCTCCCATAAGAGATGGCGTCTGTGCTCTCCTCCTTCTTGAATCTGGGCCGGCCTTTGATTTGCTTTGACCAATACAGTGTTCTGTGGATTCTGAAGCCTGGTCCGAAGCGACCTTGCACCTCTTGCCTTTTTTCTTCTGAACCCCTGGGGTCACCACGCTGTGAAGGGGCTGGCCTCCTGGAGGATGAGTGCCCACATGGAGGAGAAGCGAGACAGCTAGCGCCAAATGCCAGGTGTGTGCGTGAGGCCATCTTGACCCACCGCCACCCCAGCCCCCTTTGAGCCAAGTGGTGACTTAGTCATATGAGTGATGCCAGGTGAGATCAGCAGAACTGCCTAGATCGCCACCCCACAGACCCACCAAGAGGAACAGCTCCTTGTTTTAAGCCACTGTGGTGGGATGGCTTACTATGCAGTGATATATTTTAGACATTTTGGTGCATAATTGAAAGTAATGGTATGTATTCTAAAATATCCTATATTTCAATGTCTTGCCCAGTTCCAGTTCTCCAATCTGTCGAATCCTTCTTCTGGATGTGGGGAAGTGTTTCCCCGTAGTGTTATGTGGGCAGAAGAATTAGACTCTTCATAAGACTCTTTAATAGGTTTCGGAGGAAATGGGGATGTTAGAGGACATGCTGTGTTAGACTTGGGTTTTCTGGCGAAAGTCGTGTAATTTATATTCTGCAGAATAGGCTTCTGTTTCATTAAATTGGACCTTGGAAAAGAGCAGAAGTCCCAGCAGTTGTTTCAAATGTGCTAGAATATTGCCCCATATTTCATTCCCTCCAAAGCCGCTGTCAGTTCAGTGGGCACGTGCTCCTGTGCTATTATTACTCTGTGGTTCCCAGGAAGCTCGTTTGTTCCTAAAGTTAGAACGATTTCAGTTTTACTCAGCCCTCATCGCCTTGTAACTGCGGACGTTCCCCTCTTGTATCCAGGCCAGATTGGTTTGGTTTGGTTGGCCCTCAGTAAATCTTTCAAGGAATGTATCTGCTGATGTATCTCGTGTACGTTTGGATGACATCTAGTTGATTTTCAAGTTTTCTTTCCTTCTTAGTGGGTGTCTAAATTATACACAACTCAGCAAATTCTTTTGCGCTTACGTAGCTCATGTTACCTTCCAACTTTCCTGCTGGGTTGATTTCACCATAGATGCTGGGAAAAGGCGAACCTGGTGCTCTCGGGAAGAAGAGGGAAGTGACTGAGGGGAGGCTGTGGAGTTAGACTTGGTGGGTCTGAACCTAAGCTCTGCTGTGTGCTCGCTGTGTGATTTCGGGCAGGTTTCTTGACCCCTCTGGGCCTGGATTTTCTCTTGTGTTAAATGAAGATCCCAGAATGACCAGCCTCAAAGAGTTGTTACGAAGATTAAATGAGATGATACTTGCAACGTGCTCTCTCGGTGTAGGTAATCTGTAAGTGGTACTTATTACAGTACAGCTGTTACTGGAATTAGTCGGGGAAAACCCAGTAGGGGAAATTTTCTGTTTAGGACATTGAGCAACAGTTGGTAGAAGTGTGAGATGCTGCCGCCACCAGAAGGATCGTTGGCTTAATGCTGAGAGCATCGCTTTAAAGGCCTGGTGCGTGTGGGTGTGTGGTGATAGCCTTGTTAGTGCTAGAAATCAGGATTGAGGAGCGGGAAACATTTAAAATGGAAATATTGGAATCCGTTTGTTGCACGCATCAAAAATAAAGATGGCAAACTTTTGAAATGATAATGGCGTCCGCGGGGGGGGTGGGGGGCAGGGGGAGCATCTTACAGGAGTGACGTTCAAGCCCATTTCAGGCTTTGGCACAGTGAGCTATGCTTTTCTGCCCAGGCTGAGGAACAGAGTTTCTGTCTGTGAGCGAGTGGGCGCTGGGACCTTGGGCTCGGGTTTCTGCTCCGTCGCTGGCTTCTCCGTGAGCTTGGGCAGATCGCGTCCTTTCTCTGAGCTGGGTCCTGATTCCTGAAAAAGCGCACAGCCCTCCTGGTGCGGATTCGAGTAGACGGTGTCTTTGCAAGCAGGTGGAGAGTGTGAGATGACAAGGTTCCCAGGTGGGGGCCGTTCCAACTCCCCCCAGCAGGAAGGATGTGACCACAGCCTCACAGCCAGAACTATTCAGGTGTCCACACTGGGCTCCGGGACAGAGTGGGGCTCAGCATCGACGTGTTCAGATAAAAAGCGCAGTTCCTGTGTGAGAAGGGAGACTGGATACTGTGGGTGGGCGACCAGCAGCTGGCCATGGCTGCCTGGGTTGTGTCCTGAGCCTTCCTTTTGGTCACGGGAGATGGAAGACAGAGCCGTTTCCCTGAACGCATCCTGTGAACAGCTGTGGGATGACCTGGGGAGGGGAGGAGAGGTTGGAGAGGATTGTGCTTACCTTCAGGCTTTTGAAGCCATATTTTAATTCATGGAGCAACTTAGACTCCCTTCTTGCTACATCGCACGCCCTGTGCTAGGTGTTGGGGACTCCCCTGCTCCCCAGGGGTCCACTCCCCGGGGACAGACAGGTGTGTCAGGCACTGAGGACGGAACTGTGGGGTGTACACAGTGACAGGAGGGAGCTGGGGCTGCAGGAGCTCGGAGGGAAAGACCTGCCCACCTGGGCAGCAGGGTGTGTGTGTGTGTGTGTGTGTGTGTGTGTGTGTGTGTGTGTGAGGTGACGCTGCAGGAGGCTTCACTGGGGTTATATCTGTGTCACCTTGCACAGTGAGAGAGAACCTCACTGGGAGAGAACCACTGAGCTGACTGCTATTCTCGAGTGTCACGCCCATGGCTTAATGTTTTTATTTCTGTTTCTCTGTCTAGAAACTCTCAACTTGGGCATCAGGACCTTGTGTCGCAAGAAGCGATGCTGCCCCGATGGGAACTGTCTCTTTACCTGCTTGCTTCACTAGGCTTCCACTTCTATTCTTTCTATGAGGTTTACAAAACCTCCAGAGGTAAGTCCCGACTTTTCTGAACTTGCACCCGGAAGGAAAGGTGGTCGGGAGTGCTCCGCGGTGGGGGATTCGGGAGGATGGCCTCAGGCTCCTGGGACGAGTCGTGGGCCCCGCTTTGCTTTCCCCTCTTGTTGGACAGTTTGAATCAGTGGGTCAGTGAAGTGTCCCACCCTCATCTTGGATGGTTTAGCTGATCCTGTGGCTGATCTTTTATAATAGGAGTGTTTCATTCAATGGCTCTTGAAGGCGGGGGGGGGGGGGG